TGGTTTGGTCATTTAGAGAGAATGGATCAAAGTAGAATGACATGGAAAGCATATAAATCTATAGGGGAAGGAAGGCGAGGTAGGGGTCGTCCTTGAAAGGGTTGGAGAGAGTGGGTAAAGGAGGTTTTCTGGGCAAGGGGCTTGGACTTCCAGCAAGCGTGCGTGAGCGTGTTAGATAGGAGTGAATGGAGACGAATGGTACTTGGGGCCTGATGATCTGTTGGAGTGTGAGCAGGGTAATATTTAGTGAAGGGATTCAGGGAAACCGGTTATTTTCATATAGTCGGACTTGAGTCCTGGAAATGGGAAGTACAATGCCTGCACTTTAAAGGAGGTGTTTGGGATATTGGCAGTTTGGAGGGATATGTTGTGTATCTTTATACGTACAGTGGACCCCCGCATAACGATATTAATCCGTTCATGAGAGCTCATTGTTATGCGAAATTATCGTTATGCGAATGAATTTTCCCCATAAGAAATAATGGAAATCAAATTAATCCACGCAAGACACCCAAAAGTATGAAAAAAAAAAAATTTACCACATGAAATATACATTTTCCTACACACAAAGAGAAGGATACATGCACAATAGTAGAGTAGTACATGCACAGTATATATTGTGCATGTACTACTCTACTAAATGAAGAATAAATGACACCTTTATTGAAGATGCAGCAATGACTGATGAGACACTGTGTCCTGGGAGTGCCTTTTCCTCCTGAGTACTGTAGGTCCTGTTTGGCGTTTTCTTCCAGAACAGGCCTTATCACACTGTGTATGCCACTACGATTCTTGAATCTCTCAAACCAACCTTTGCTGGCTTTAAATTCACCAATATGAGCACTAGTTCCAGGCATTTTTCCCTGTTCACCTGGGTGTTAGTCGACTGGTGTGGGTTGCATCCTGGGAGACAAGATTAAGGACCCCAATGGAAATAAGTTAGAGAGTTCTCGATGATGCACTGACTTTCTTGGGTTATCCTGGGTGGCTAACCCTCCGGGGTTAATCGTTTCTCGGTAATTGTTTCACGTTAAGCCACACCAACAACACTCTCTCCACATCTTCGAGTAATACAGCTGATGGTGGTGCAGCAACAACAACAGCTGTGGTGCAGCTGACTATGGTGCAGCAGCAGCTGTGGTGCAGCTGACCATGGTGCAGCAGCAGCTGTGGTGCAGCAACAGCTGACCATGGTGCAGCTGCAGCTGTGGTGCAGCAACAGCTGTGGTGCAGCAACAGCTGACTGGTCCAATTTATCAGCTGACGGTGGTGCAGCAGCAGCTGACTGTGGTACGACAGTATTTATCACCCTTTTTACCACAGGGTTGGCACTAGAAGCTGTCTTTGGGCCCATGGTGGCTTATTTAGCAGTTACAAGCACTATAAATAATGGAATAATACAAAATGTATCGAATGTATGCATGCAACCGGCCACCCTGGCTTGTAAACAATGACGGCAAGGCAGGCGCTCAGGCTGGACAGACAGGTTCGGGATGAGTCATGTTCAGAAACAGCTGATGGTGCAACAGCAGCTGACTGATCCAGCAACAGCTGACTGATCCAGCAACAGCTGACTGGTCCAGCAACAGCTGACTGGTCCAGCAACAGCTGACTGATCCATCAACAGCTGACTGATCCAGCAACAGCTGACTGATCCAGCAACAGCTGACTGATCCAACAACAGCTGACTGATCCAGCAACAGCTGACTGATCCAGCAACAGCTGACTGATCCAGCAACAGCTGACTGGTCCAGCAACAGCTGACTGGTCCAGCAACAGTTGACTGATCCAGCAACAGCTGACTGGTCCAGCAACAGCTGACTGATCCAGCAACAGCTGATCGTGATGCAGCAGTAGCTAACTGATCCAGCAACAGCTGACTGGTCCAGCAACAGCTGATTGTGGTGCAGCAGCAGCTGACTGATCCAGCAACAGCTGACTGGTCCAGCAACAGCTGATTGTGGTGCAGCAGCAGCTGACTGATTCAGCAACAGCTGACTGGTCCAACAACAGCTGATCGTGGTGCAGAAGCAGCTGACTGATCCAGCAACAGCTGACTGGTCCAGCAACAGCTGACGGTCCAGCAACAGCTGATCGAGGTGCAACAGCAGCTGACTGATCCAGCAACAGCTGACTGGTCAAGCAACAGCTGACCATGGTGCAGCAGCAGCTGACTGTGGTATTGTAGTATTTCTCACCCTTTTTACCACTGGGTTAGCACTAGAGACTTTCTTGGGGCCCATGGTCACTTATTTTGCAGATGAAATCACCAAAAATGCTGTAATAATACGAAATGTTCCGATTGTATGCTTGGATGTTACCGCGGAGGCTGGCTTGTAAATAATGCCACCGACGGAACATGTGAAGCTGGCTCAGGCCACACATTAGAAGCGTCTCGGACAAAAAGTGTTGAGCGAGTTTTTTAGCGGTATGCGAGGCAAAATTTTAGTGATAAAATGTATCGGTATGCAGATTTAACGTTATGTGATGCCAACGGTATGCGAGGGTCCACTGTATATGCTTCTAAACTGTTGTATTCTAAGCACCTCTGCAAAAACAGTGATTGTGTGTGAGTGTGGTGAAAGTGTTGAATGATGATGAAAGCATTTTCTTTTTGGGGATTTTCTTTCTTTTTTGGGTCACCCTGCCTCGGTGGGAGACGGCCAATTTGTTGAAAAAAAAAATAGTATAAATTACCTAGGATAACCCAAAAAATCCAGACAGTGCTATACTCTGCTTGAAGATGTGAGTAAACATGATGATGCAGTCTTATGGCTCTCTCTGAGATGGATAGACAGAGCGCTTGACAAATAGACAGACATGTTTGTGTACCAGAGAAAACAAAGGGAGGGCGATGCTCATCAAATATCACATCTAATCTTTTATCAGCTGTACCCTCCCCCACCATCATGTATGCTCATCAAATGTCAGCTCTTATCAGATGTATCTCATCTTGTCACGTCACTGCCAGGGGTGGACTTTGTTTTTCATGCTTCAAGGCAACTACTTATTCTCCTTCTTGGTATTAAACCTTTAGCATGCCCTACCCTGCAGTGCTGTATGACCCTTGTAGGTTTAGCACTTAGTTATCATCATCAATCATCAACAACCATCAATCAATCATCAATCAATCAATAATCATCAATCAACAATCAATCATCAATAATCATAAATCAATCAATCAACATCAATAATCATCAATCAATCATCAATCATCATCATCAATAATCAATCCATCATCAATCAACAATCAATCATCAACAATCATCATCAATCAATCATCAATCAACAATCAATCATCAATTAATCATCAAATCATCATATCAATCATCAAATCATCAATCAATCATCATCAATCAATCATCAACAATCAATCATCAATAATCAACAATCAATCATCAATAATCATCAATCAACAATAATCAATCATCAAATTATCAATCATCAAATCATCATCAATCAATCATCAAATCATCATCAATCATCAAATCATCATCAATCATGAACAATCATCAACAATCAATCATTATCAATCATCATCAATCAATCATCGTCAATCATCATCAATCAATCATCAAATCATCATCATCAATCAATCATCATCAATCAACAATCATCAATCAATTATCAATCAATCATCATCAATCAATCATCAACAATCATCATCAATCATCAAATCAATCAATCATCAACAATCAATCATCAAATCATCATCAATCAATCATCAAATCATCAATCAATTATCAATCATCAACAATCATCAAATCATCAACAATCATCAACAATCATCAATCAATCATCAAATCATCATCAATCAATCAAATCATCAATCAATATCAAATCAATCATCATCAAATCAATCATCTCATCATCATCAATCAACAATCATCATCTCATCTCCATCATCATCATCATCTCCATCTCCATCATCATCTCCATCATCATCATCATCTCCATCATCATCATCTCCATCATCATCATCTCCATCATCATCTCCATCATCATCATCATCTCCATCATCATCATCTCCATCTCCATCATCATCATCATCATCATCATCATCTCCTCCTCCTCCTCCTCCCATTAAATGACCTACATGGGTTAAAAGCTTCATGAAATGCAATACAATCCAATCTTAAATGTACAATTGTCTGCTCTAACCCTCTCGTGAAGATATGAAAAAATGTTATGGAAGGAGCTTATATAAAAATTGGAAAACTACAAGCAACTGAGATGGACAAGTGTAGAATATGGATAAAAAGAATGAATGTTTTTTTTAACATATGGGTGTCCCTCACCAAGGTAAGATGTGATAAGTGTGAATAGTGAGTAAAGAGGAAGTAATGAATAAATGGAAAAAAAACAGATTGCAGGAAAATAAGATATAGAAGCACATCATGAATATGGATTAGGAATGCAGAGAATAAATAAATGAAGTTGAAGGAAGGAATGTACAAGAATAGATAAAAAAAATAATAGGGAAGCAAGCAGAGTATACAGGAAACAATATCAGTGGAGAGTACATGGAACTGAATACAAATAGCCAGGAACAACATGGTAGACTACATTTACCATCATGCTCATTGCAGTACAGGAGAAAGAGCAATGATGAGTAGTCGAATATTTTCATATCTTTGAAGAATAAAACTCAAATCTGTGACTGTAACAATTCACAAATAAACCACGTTTCTGTCCATTATACACTCTTATAAAGTCGCAGCTTTCTAATGGTCCAGGACAAACAGGAAACTTGTCCAAAGTTTCCTCTCAAAATTGTGGGTTAGTTGCAGAATTACTATGTTTTGCCAATTGTGTATTAGTCCAATACAAGCAGTTGCAAAATGAAAATACAAATTTTTTTCTAAAGTATTACATTATATATTTGTCTTTATAAAGGCAGATACACATTTGGAGAAAGTTTTAACATACAGTTTTTACAATGTATATAGAAGCCACTACAAGATATTAAAAAGAGAGTGTTACTTGTTTAATTTACTTACATGCATGGTTTTTTCTTAGTTCCAGGGCCCCCATATTTCTTCATATCCAAACAGTTGGAGCACTTGAGGCAGTTTGGAGTGGTACACCCTGGACATTTGTTGCACCACTGGGTCTTCCGTAGCACCTGATCAACATTAGTCAAGATAATTTCTTAAAAAAACACAATCAAAACAAGGGTAAATATATTACAATATTTTCATCTTTTATATATGTAGGAAAACAAACATAACTAACTAGCATATTCAAGACAGGGTCTGATAAGAACACTGCAGCATTATTACAGTATCGAGTGGCTCAAACTAGATTTTGTGCTATAAACCCTGGTATTATCTTTGCTGCTCATACGAAGACAGTTTTATATATTTTAGTACAGTGATTATAACTATTTCAGGTACAGTATATTCTTTGCATTTATCTCGGCAAGTGAATTTCCATTCATAAACAATCTTACCAGTCTCAAGAGCTTTCCTACTCTCAAAACTGGCAAGAATTTCCTGCTGATTAAACAGTCAACCAGGCTATTGCTGTTTACAAGTCACTGACCCACATGTCAATAACAGCCTGGTTGACCTAGCACTTGGCAGAGAGTGAGTGATTCGGTTTCCTCTTAGAGGCTTCTACATTTGTTCCTGCATTATATTTCGTATCTGCTGGTAACAGGTTAATTAGCCAAGACCCAAAGTCACTGAAACTGTGCCCATGGTGCCCTTGCTTTTCGCTGGGTTTATTTTACACTTCTTCCAATGTCTCTCACTTCAATACAATATGGCAATATGTAGATTTTGGACCTGCCCCCCATTTATCTTCCAAGTACGGTATATATAATCACCCTCAACAGTTTGAATGCTTTATTGGCTCTATGTAAGCAGGAAACAATCTCTGCCCATTCAAGCACTGACCCCTCCAGCTTTGAATGGAGCTGTCAACAAGCAATTGGAGTAGTGTCACCACTGGCATTATTTCCCTTATTCTCAGTGTTTTTATTGTCCACTTTTTTTTTCTTTTGCAATATTTTCGTTGCGTTCTCTAAATGTTAGGTCAGCTATCATCACTATACCCAGGTCTTTCATATTTTATTTTTGTTCTAATAGGTGGTGATCCTGCATTTTGTATACAGCACCACTATTGAATTTTCCATTCTTTCCACATCCATATCTGAGCAGTTGTGATTTGTGACCACTGATCATATTATCTAATGCCCACTGGAAGACAATGTTAATATCCTCTTCCTATCAAGATTTTCATGCTTTTTTTTTTTCAACAAATCGCCCATCTCCCACCGAGGCAGGGTGACCCAAAAAGAAAGTCCCCAAAAAGAAAATACTTTCATCATCATTCAACACTTTCACCTCTCACACATAATCACTGTCTTTGCAGAGGCACTCAGATACGACAGTTTAAAATTCCCTCCAAACTGTCAATATCCCAAACCCCTCCTTTACAGTACAGGCACTATACTTCTCATTTCCAATACTCAAGTCTGGCTAACCAGTCCCTAAATCCCTTCACTAAATATTACCCTGCTTACACTCCAACAGCTTGTCAGGTCCCAAAAACCATTCGTCTCCATTCACTCCTATCTAACATGCTCACACACGCTTGCTGGAAGTCCAAGCCCCTCACCCACAAAACCTCCTTTACCCCCTCCCTCCAACCTTTTTGAGGTCGATCCCTACCCCGCCTTCCTCCCCTACAGATTTATACGCTCTCCATGTCATTCTACTTTGATCCATTCTCTCTAAATGACCAAACCACCTCAACAACCCCTCTTCAGCCCTCTGACTAATTTATCCCCCAAAAAATTAATATCCATTTACCTAATTTTTCCATCATACGTATGGACTTGAGTCCTGGAAATGGGAAGTACAATGCCTGCACTTTAAAGGAGGGGTTTGGGATATTGGCAGTTTGGAGGGATATGTTGTGTATCTTTATATGTATATGCTTCTAAACTGTTGTATTCTGAGCACCTCTGCAAAAACAGTGATAATGTGTGAGTGTGGTGAAAGTGTTGAATGATGATGAAAGTATTTTCTTTTTGGGGATTTTCTTTCTTTTTTGGGTCACCCTGCCTCGGTGGGAGACGACCGACTTGTTGAAAAAAAAAAAAACGTACGGACCTCATTTCTTGTGATATCACTCCATTTCTCGTTTGTCAAATGCCTTCACTAAGTCTGAGTAAACTATATTTGCATTTTTATTATCTTTCAAAGCCTCTGCAATTTAGTTATAATCATTCAGTAGTTGAAACAAGCACAACCTTCCTGCTCTACAGTCCGTGTTAGTTAGGACTATGCAAGATACACTTTTCCACAAAGTTTACTTTGGCATTTCATCACCTTTCAATTTATTTACTGTTTAATCAGGGAAGTGCTAAACCTGAAGGTGTTATTTAGCAACTGAGGAATGAGAGGCATTCAGGTTTGATCCAAGGAAGGGGAAGGTAAGTCCAGTTCCCTGGATTACAAGGCACTCACTGACATCAGGGAACCTCACCCTTTCAAAACCATTATGAAAAAGTTTTGTCCATAAATTTTTGCTAGTGCTCTGTCTCCTTTATGCAAAGAAACTATGATATGTACTTTTTAAGGCCTCTGGGATTTCACACTAGATTTAAACTCTTTCTCTAAAGGATACTGAATGCTCATGCTAGTGATATTATGCACTTCATTATAAATAAGGAACTCCATGAATACAACTCAGATGATGTGAGAGCATCTTTTCTATTTCTTTTAAAAATTTTATGTACTCATGTCAAAAGGTATAATTTATATGATAAGTAGTAGTAATGAAAAAATTACTTGTCATTTCTACTTTCAGTTAGTGGACTGTTCAACATTAATTCAAACTGGCCTTTTAAATTTTCATTTTTATAAATTTTCACTCTTTATAAATCACCTATGAATAATGTTTTTATTCCACAAAAGACTTTTTAAATTTTGTCTATATGTAAAAATATTAAAAAGTTTCAATTTCATGGAAGGTATCTTGTTCACTTTGTGATTCTTCCTTTTAGTATGAACGGTTCAAGTTTCTGATTTATATCAGTATTCTCTGTTTAGACACTTTCCTTCATTGTAACATTCTTGTTTTAAAGCCATTAATTAAGTAACTTTTTTTTTCTTTTTTTTTTTTTTGCATAGTCTACAATCTCTCTCTATTTTATCTTGCAGACTTTCTCAGAGGCATATATTTTATACAGATTTTTAGTGTTTCTAAATTCAACTCATATGTGAACTTGTGAGAGTTTAGGTACAATCCTGGTGCCACTCCTGTTTCTTATTCTCTTAACAGACAATAGATGCTGCCAAAAAAATGCAAAAAAGATATAAACAGTTTTCAAGTGGACAGTAGAACATAACATGATGTTCAATTACCCAGATGAGAAAATGGGCAACAGTATACAACAGGATCATTCCACAAAATCAAAAGAACATATAACAGACCTAGGTATAATAATAAATAAATGATAGGTGACATCTTTCAAGGAACACAGTAAAGTAAAAGCTGTGAAGGCCTGAAAAACAACAGGGTGAATAATGAAGATTTTCAAGACGAGAAATGATGCCAATGGTAACACTTTTCATATCACTTGTGCTCTCTCACTTGGAGTACTCCTCAGTATTGACAGCGTCATTCAGAGCAGGTGAGATAGGAGAGCTGGAAAAAAACAGAGCATGTTTACTGCCCACAGAACCCATAAAGCATTTAAACTATTGGGAATGCCTCAAAGAACTGTAATGTACAATCTGGAAAGAAGGCAAGAGAAATGTGTATTAAAAATATACATGAAAGATACTGGAGAGCCTAGTAGTGAACCTGTACAATACCTTAACATACTTGAGAAAGAGTTAAGGGGAAAAGTATAAAATAGACTTAGTGAAAAGCAGAAAAGCTACAGGGTCTAAAAGTTTCAATCTGCTACCAGCAGATATAAAAAATACTGCTGGAAAAAGTGTATAGGTCTTCAAAAGGAAACTGGATTACTATCTCCATGATTCTTTAAAAGCAAACTAGATTACTATTTCCATGGAGCACCAGATCAACTAGGCCGTAATGGTTATGTTGGCCACTGGGCTAACAACAGCCTGGTTGACCAAGCAATAAACATGGAGGCTTGATCCAGGACCTGGCTGCCGAAGTAAAAAAAAACTCAAACATGCCAGAAGTAAATCACATGGAAAGAACAATACCTTGCCACTAGCTGTTGTGGTCACCGTGACAATTTTCCGTTTCTGGTTTCCTTTTCTAATAGGAACGCTTGCCGAGCTTATTAGCCGGTCCTCATCTTTCCTTGGTGATGGAAATACAGCACGAGGAATTCCTAAAACCTGAAACCAGAAATTAAAACCAGGTATTGGTTGCTGAGAAGGTTATTCCAACTGCACCTCCTTCCTCAAGTTATACACCTATTATAAGAAAAAGTAAGATGAGCATCACCAAGTACAGTAGATACAATTATCCAGTGACAGCAGCAAAGCCCTTATAATAACTTAGAAACTCAATAGCCCAACTGCACTGATTACAGGGGTAAGGAGAAGAGAAACAAAAAAGTTTTCTTTCTTTTTGAAGCTTGAGAACACTTACTACATTTACATATATGTACATATTTTACAAGAAGGGCAACAAATACTACTGAACAATATAAGTGAAAAATCAATTTAGACAGTTTCAGTAGAGGAGTAGCCAATATGGATGAAGTAGCCGGTACAGGAGGGAGAGCAGCCAGTACATGAGGGAAAGTAGCAGGTATGGGAGGTAAAGTAGCAGGAATGGGAGGGAGAGTAGCAGGTATGGGAGGGAGAGTAGCAGGTACAGGAGGGAGAGTAGCAGGTACGGAAGGGAGAGTAGCAGGTACGGGAGGGAGAGTAGCAGGTACGGGAGGGAGAGTAGCAGGTACGGGAGGGAGAGTAGCAGGTACGGGAGGGAGAGTAGCAGTACGGAGGGAGAGTAGCAGGTACGGGAGGGAGAGTAGCAGATACGAGAGGGAGAGTAGCAGATACGGGAGGGAGATTAGTAGGTACGGGATGGAGAGTAGCACGTATGGGAGGATAGCACGTATGGGAGGGAGAGTAGCACGTATGGGAGGGAGAGTAGCAGGTACGTGAGGGAGAGTAGCTGGTATGAAACTAAGTAGCTGGTATGAGAGTGAGAGCAGTTGGTATGAGAGGGAGAGCAGTTGGTATGAGAGGGAGAGCAGTTGGTATGAGAAGGAGAGCAGTTGGTATGAGAGGGATAGTTGGTATGGGAGGGAGAGTAGAAGGTATGAGAAGGAGAGTAGTTGGTATGAGAGGGAGAGTAGTTGGTATGAGAGGGAGAGTAGTTGGTATGAGAGGGAGAGTAGCTGGTATGAGAGGGATAGAAGTTAGTCTGGACAGCAGAGTAGCTGATATGAGAGGGACGGTAGCTAGTCTGGAAGGGAAAGTAGCAAGTATAGGAGGGAAAGTAGTTGGTACATGGGGGAGAGTTTAGCTACTCAGCAATTGGGGGTGCGCGCACACACATGCATGCGCACACACATGCGTGTGAGCACGCACACACATGCGTGTGAGCATGCACACACGCGCACACATGCACACGCACACACACACACACACACACACACACACACACACACGGAGCTTGGACTCGACCCCTGCAACCTCAACTAGGTGAATACACACGCACGCACACACAAGCAAATGTGCATGCACACAAACACACACTCCCACACACATACACTCCCCCCCATACACACACACCCACACCCCCCCCACACACTCTCTCCCATGCACACACACACACACAACCACACGAACACACCCACATCCATACACCCACACACAAACAACAAAACACAGAATCACACATGCACACACCACCACACACACAGAACCATGAAACCCACAACACACACAACACACAACAACACACACAAAACACACACACACACACACAAAACCATACTCCCCCACACACACTCCCTACCACACACACAACACTCCCTCCAAACCCCCCCCACACACACGCACGCGCGCGCCAGGAGCCAGGAGTTATGACTCAATCCCCGCAACTACAACTATGTGAGTACACGTGCGCACTCATGCACACTCGTGCACACACACACAATTGCACACAAAACATCCCCTGCACCCCCACACACACATAGTAGCGACCAGTGAAGAGGCGGGGCCAGGAGCTTGGACTCGACCCCTGCAACCTCAACTAGGTGAGTACATGCAAACGTACACACACGTATACACACATGTATACACACACACACACACACACACACACACATCACACATACACAACACACGCACACACACACACACGCACACACAGCCCACACACGCACACACGCACACACACGCACACACACGCACACACACACACACACACACGCACATGCACACACACATGCACACGCACATGCACACACACATGCACACACACATGCACACACACATGCACACACACACACACACACACACACACACACACACACGGGGCCAGGAGCTAAGACTCGACCCCTGCAACCACAAATAGGTGAGTACACGGCATTTCTCCAACAAGCCAAGACATGCAGTGTCTTGGTGCTAGAAATAATGAGACTGGCAGCTACGTATTGAGTCAAGCGTTGATGACAGTTTCAGGAAGGTACCTACCACCCTGAACAACATTTTACTGTACATCTCCACATTTACAATCATGTACAGTACTTTTATGCATGGTCAGTTAAGCCAATAGTTATGTCTGTTAGCTCTGATACAATACTATACTGAACACTTTCAATAAAACTATGTTCTTGTTAAATTGTGGTTCTAGTTAAATTGTGGCTAGATGATCAGACTGTGAAGAATATCTTGAATCTTTCTGACAAAAGTACTCAGAGCATGTTATTATTAATTTGTATCACACATTTTCCTATAATTTTAACCCCTTAATGCTTGTTGAGAAATGCAAATATAAATTAATAATAGTTAAATAACTCAATTTAATTTAAGAATTCAATATTTGCACATACCTTACCAGACACATACCTGAGCTTGACTACGGCACACATGTTTGACTCGGGGTCCACCAACTTCACTGATGGGTCCTTCACCTTCCTCTGTTTCAGATTTCACAGATGATTTTCCTTCCTGAGTAGAAACAATAATAACTTTCCTACCACTTTTGCCTAACTGAGCTATATGTTTCCCAGGCTCTTCCAAAAGGGGTTGAATTGAGTCACACACTTTTGCTGTTAGGTTTGAAAAAGTAATTTCCTCAGTGACAGTTTCAGGAAAGTTCTTAAACCCAGGCTGCATGCCACTTTTCCGAAAACATTTTATTGCCTTGGTTATTCTTGGCTTCTTTGACTCCTCACCAGAAGCACAAGAATCTTCAGATGTTTTAGCAAGTGTTTCAGTGTCTGAAAATTCACTGACCTCAGATGACTGAGCTGAAGTTGATGTGATCTCTGCTACTGCTGAAATTTCAGTAATAGGGTCCTTCTCAACCTTAGTTTCTGAGGATAAACTTGTCTGTTCTCTTTTAAGAACTGGTGGAAAATAAAAATCTAGGTCGACTTTTGATCGACCTGCCTTTTTGAAGTAAGCCAGCAGTTCTATTCGAGATCTAAAAGTCTGGCTATCAGGACTATGCAAGAGAGCCACTTTTCCTTCTCCTTTTTCATTCCATCTTATTTTCCTAGACCAACCATTTCCAAAATGACAGGTCTGATAAACTGAAAGTCTTTTGGGTTTGGATTTAGATTTGAATTCAGGTACTAATAAAGAATCAGGCACAACTTCTCCCTCAGATACATTAGGTAGTGATACCTTGGAATCACTGGACTTAACACCTTCCACTAATGGTTCAGACTCCACTCCAATTGGATCTGCATTTTGGTCATTATTAAAAAGTTTACCCTGAGCTTCATCTAATGATTTATTTGTGCTAGGCACTTGTGCTAGCATGTCTATATTTTTATCTTGAACAACCTTTGTGTTATCTTGTAAAACTTGTTGCTCTGTACTTTGTTTATCATCTAGGCCCACATCAGGTGGGTCACTGTCAACTATTTTGTTCCTCAATCTATGCTTTCTTCCTAGAGGTTTGATTACTTTCTTGGGTATTTTCAAGACTATTTTAGGATCGGGTTTCCTCTCACTGACTTCAACACTTGATGCAACAGGCACAGGGCCCTCTTCAGTCTTTCTGCGTTTTCTGTTTGGGGATACATTTGCAAAATCCTGTATTTCCTCGACAACATCTGTATCATTAATTTCTTGTGTAATTTCAACATGGGTATCTGATAAATGTGTTGATTTTTCACTTAAAGATGGGCTTTCTATAGATTTAGAAGTATTCTTTGACCTACTTCTTGAGAAAGCTTTTGGAAACACCATGACAGTTCCAGATTTTTTTTGTTCTGATTCACTTTCTGTTGTATCTGTGAAGCTTGTATCACATTTATTTTGATTTCTACCAATTGACATAGATCTGCTTCTCATTATCACTTTTGCTTTTTTATACTTGCGCTCCATATTTTTTCCTTCATTTTTAATATCAACTGAGCTTACCTTACCTGCAAGATCTTCTCCACTGTTGTCTGTGGTCTTCAATTTACTCCCTGACTTGCTTCTACATCTCCCTTGTTCATTATAATTTTTACTCTTCAGATCTTTAATATACGAAAGTCTAGCCACCTTTTCATGAGTAGAACCAGATTTTTTATTTTTAGATTTTGATGACTCTACCTCACACTCTGATGCTTCTGGAGATTTATCATCTGAACTAATTTCTGAGCATGACTCTGAGCTTGACACAGGTTCAGTGCTAGATGATCCTGGGGTGTCACTGGAACTGGGTACTGAAGCATCAGAGTGACCAGTTACTACAGGGAAATACTTATGGATATCATCAACTTTACCAATGAGCTGAAAATATGCACTTAGCTCCCGTCTGGACCGGAAAGTTCTGCCATCAGGGCTGTATACGTAAGTATCAAAACGATCACCAGCTGATCGCCATTTAATTCTTCGTATCCACCCACCCGGCAGGGTTGTCATTACTACTTTCCCTCGTTCGCTGATGTTACTTTGGACTGATGGTCGAGACTTTACTTCAGAGCTTCGACAAACTGCAGGACTGTTATTACCAAAAAGAACACGTGCATCTGTGCTAATACCTTGTTTTTTTAGAAATTCTTCCAATTTTTGTACACTTTTGAATTTTTCCCCACTGGGGCTGATAACAACAACTTCTGGTCCTGTTTTACGCCGCCATCCACCTGGTAAGTCCATCACTGATCCAAATGCCCCACCCCCTCCTGGATCTAAAGGCAATCTCTTTGTGTGACTTGCTAAGTCTGCATCTTTTTCTAATATGATTGGTAGACCACCAACATTCATACACCGGGCTAAGCTTGTTGGTATGTGCTCTTTCAAAATTGTTGGTAATCGTTTGCGAAGACGATCATGAAGAAGGCTAGGCATGGAACATGAGACAAGTATTCTAGACAGCCAGCAAGCTAGGCAGCGATCTTCTTCCACATAGCCCTGAAATTGACATTCACCTTTACTGCCTTGACATTCAAAAACCTCTCTTGGACCATCACTGGCATTGTGAAGGAAGTTGCTGCAGATCTCACAAAACACAATACCAAACTTTCGCGAGTTTCCATCAGCTAAGTCGCAGATGGCACACTTTCCCTCTACACTTCCTGAAATACAAAATAAATTCAATATAAACCACACAAACTACTTCAAAAATATTGAATGCCAAATTAAGGTAATTGGTCAGTAAGCGCAGTTTTCCCAAGACTTTAGCAAGCCACATGCTTGTCAAGCCTGGGCCAGTTTACATGGACACTGGTTCAATACCCCTGCGCGACTCATCATCTATGAAACATGTATGTACTATGTTAAACACAATAAATGAGAACAAATTTGTTTCAAAAACTAAACAAAAATTGAGGTATTACTGTAATGACCTTCATCACACATTGGAATGAGCCTCTGGAGGGATGCTGGGTTGCGGATTTTCTGGAGGGTTGTTTTGTTCAGGTTGAGACGTGCTTTCCTAAGTATGTTGCGTGAAAGAACAGATGCAGAGAGTGCTGGAGAGGTACTGCTAGCAGGAGCAGCCAGCAATTCATCACTTTCAATCTTCCCTCCCTGTATAAAAATGACAGGATTATAATGTGTAACGAAACATTAATGAATAAATAATGGAAAAATAAGGTATATTAGATCTAAAGCAATGACTAGTTAATTTTCAGGTGCTCAAATTTCTCCTGTGAAACACAAATATTGAGGACAATGAATGACAGTGTTCAGGAAGCCATTAACACACTAAAAATTAGTAATGCCCTTTAAGCTATGGACATACATACATAAACAACAACTACAACAACAACTACTACTACTACTACAACTACAACAACTACAACTACAACAACTACTACTACAACTACTACCACTACAACTACAACTACTATCACCACCACTACTACTACCACTACTACTACTACTACCACTGCTACTGCTGCTACTACTACTACTACTGCCACTGCTACTACTACTACTACTACTACTACTACTACTACTACTACTACTACTACTACTACTGCTGCTGCTGCTGCTGCTACTACTACTATTACTACCACCACCACCACTAGTATTGCACCTCACTCTGAGCCTATATATACCCTCTGTGTCCATGTACTGTTTGCAGCGGCTTGACAAAGCTCCTGGAGAGCGAAACGTTACCACAATAAAATTTCACATTAGTTGCACTTGTGTCCTTTTACTTTACATATTGTCAGTAATTCTACCAACTTTATTACAAAAATTCTACACCTAGCCATTAGGTTAGAACAAAAGAACATAAGAATGGAGAAACACTGCAGAACGACAACTGGCCCACACAAGGCAGGTTCCTATCAAAACGGCTCCTACCCAAAGCTACTTAAGAATTTACTCCCATAACCAATGACACCAAACAAACCCAGCCCCTCCCACTCACATATTTGTCCAATCTCTTTTAAAAGCTATCAAAGGTCCTAGCCTCAATCACCCTACTCGGAAGATTGTTACACACATCCACAACTCTGTTCGAAAACCAGTACTATGTCCTTTCTAAATCTAAATTTATCAAACAAATCCATTATTTCTGGTTCTTACCTGGTTTCACACCCTTAGCTTACCTGCTTAGATACCCTCAGTGTGCATGTATGTGCATGTGGGTGTGCATGTGTGTGTGGGGTGTGTGTGTGGGTGGTGTGTGTGTGTGTGTGTGTGTGTGTGTGTGTGTGGTGGTGTGGGTGGTGTGTGTGGGTGGTGTGTGTGGGTGGTGTGTGTGGGTGGTGTGTGTGGGTGGTGTGTGTGGGTGGTGTGTGTGGGTGGTGTGTGTGGGTGGTGTGTGTGGTGTGGTGGTGGTGTGTGGGTGGTGTGTGGGTGGTGTGTGTGGTGGTGTGTGTGGGTGTGTGTGGGTGGTGTGTGTGGGGGTGGTGTGGGTGGTGTGTGTGGGTGTGTGTGTGGGTGGTGTGTGTGGTGGTGTGTGGGTGGTGTGTGGGGTGTGTGTGGGTGTGGTGGGGTGTGTGGGGGGGTGTGTGGGGTGTGGTGTGTGGGGGTGGGTGTGGGGGGGGGGTGGGTTTGGGGTGTTGGTGGTGTGGGGTGGTGTGTGGGTGGTGTGGGGTGGTGTGTGGGTGTGTGGGTGGTGTGGGGGGTGGTGGGGTGGGTGGTGTGTGTGATTCGACAACCAAACTAATTTTTCCCATAAAGAGTAATGTAAACAAAATTTATCCGTTCCAGACCCCAAATAACAATAGTATAATAACATATTAATACGTAACGTACTAACTACAGTGGAACCTCAGTTTTCGTGATTAATTCATTCCAGAAAGTCTGACAAAAACTGAATTGTACAAAAGCTGAAGCAATACTTCCCATAAGAAATAATGTGAATCCAATTAATCCCCTCCCTCCCTCTTTTTTTTCTCTCTCTCTCACATGGTTTGACAAGGTTAAGGATCCCTAGCTTTATTGACAAGCTATTTACTGGTTAAGGATTCCTAACTTTATTGACAAGCTAAGAGCTGTTATCTACATCAGCTCATTTTAAAGCTTTTTTTATTGTTATGAGACACACAAGTAGGGAACAGGATGAAGTTGGAGCCATCTCTGGGCCAGCACTTTCGTTTGGTCAACTGACTTTATCTCATTGACATCATAATGCTGTACGAATGTGTTCCATACTCGAGTCATCCTGGGGATAAATGATCTCAGATGAAGTGATGTTCTGGAGAAGGGTACAGCCAGAGTGAAGATGCTGCTTTCTGCCCATCTTGTGGTAGAGAAGCTTGCTTCTCGCTGTCCTCAAAGTGGAGCCAAGTGTGGTACTTTGACAATATTGGCCTTGTACATAACAGTAAGGCCACCCACATCCCTCCTGTGTTGAAGGCTCTGCTGAAATGACACATCTATCCAGGATTGGTCCAGGCGAGAGATGAGACGTCTTGCTCTGTTCT